GGGAGCCAGGCGCCCTGTCCTTGTCTAAGATTTGAGCTACATGAAGACTCAGGCAGAGAGATGTCAAGGCAGAAGGAACACATGCAAAGGCCCTGAGGTAGGAATACATTTGATGTGTCTGAAGAAGAGGAAGAGCACAAGAGCTAGAGGGCAGTGAACTATACTGAACGATGACTGACCCTCCAAGTATCTAAGAATTAGCTTGTTAGTTTGTTCATTTACCCCCCTACTTTGGTCCAAAAAGGATTTAAAATAGCTATTTGAATGTTGCTGTTCCTTAGAGTGTCTATAGATTTGAGAAACATAAAAATGAGTCCTTTAGCAGGTAAAGTCCAACAGATCTGCAGTGGGACATAAGGACCACCAGTGCAAGATGTTTCATTTTTTTAAAAGCTCACACACCTTGAAATGTCATTTAAAAAATTATTTTTAAAGAAAATTGTTGCACCAAATTTAATTTCAGATCAACAGACCCATTAAATTCTCTAATTAATCATGGCACATGCTATTTACCAAACTCCTGTAAAAACAAATTTCTTTTGTACACATTACAAAGAAATGTTACATAAAATTAAGCACCAAGTAATGACTTTAATTTGCGGTTAGTTAATAATACACAGATGATCACACGGCTGTAAAGAAAGCCACTTGGGACATTAATAGATATGCTGGCACAGAGGAATTAGAAACAGGCCGACTGTGAGCTCTGGGTGGGGAATAAAGAAGATTCAAGAGTAAATGGACATTAGATGTTTTGACTTACAGTAATGGGCAGAGACCTGCTGGAAGGCCTTTGCCCAGAGAAACCTGTCTAAATGACTTTTAGGTTTCTTCATGGGTTTCTAAATTTATTTTTACCTCTTGCCCAGCAAAAAGGTTTTAGAAAATGTAATGGAATTTTCATTTCACATGAGCTTGGCTAAATGGCCTTGACTAAAAAGTTCTTTTTTTCAGCTTTGGGAGAAACTATAATTGTTTCAAGTTCTATGAGCCACTTTAGTAGACTAATTTCTTGGCACTTGATGATTCCAAGCTAAGATGCTCAGACTTTACATTTTTGGACATAAATATAAAATAGGGTCAAGTCTTAATATCTGAGGAAAATCAACATTACATTTCTCTGAGGTCTATAAGCTACATAAGCAATCATACAAACAGTCACACAACAATGAAAATTCTCTATCTCATGTTGTAGCACATGGGATGGAAAACCGATGGCCCCGAGGATTTGTGATGAAAATTTGTCTACACCTTCTAGAAAGGAGGAATGGAAAGTTGTCAGGGGACTGAAAATGGCTTGCCTTCCTCTTACAGAACAACTTTTCTGATATTTTCTCAATTCCACTGCTCCTGTCTGAAAGCCATCGGAAAGGGATTTGCACAATGAAAGATTCGTAGTGTCTAGTCTCGAGCCAGGATCTCGATGCCCTGAGAAGCAGAGACTCCTAAAGGTCACTCAGGGCTCCCACGGATTCACAGTGCGACTCTTACTTGTCACTTCATCTGTCCCTGTGCCTCCTTTGTTTGGCATGTGAAATGGGTATCAAAGAACCATTTACTTCATGGTGGTGTTTCAGCTTTCTAAACAGGTGACAAACAACCCCATCATCTAGGTTGGAGATGATATCGGTTCCACATTGCTTCTCTCAGGTGCCTACAGCTGGTCCCTGTTTCCCAAGGGCACTGGGTTAAGTCATTCTTATCATTCTTACTGGTTACGGACCAGGCTGTGAAGGAGGAGGTCTCTTTGACTTGATCCTGAATCACAGCTCACCATGGTCCTTGCCAGGCTTTGGGGCAATAAGATAATGTAGTGACACAAACAGGTACACACCCCATTATGAAACTAATGACGAGCTGAAAATAAAAAGGAAATTTAAAGAAGGGAAGTTTCAGAAAGGCATTAATCAACAACTCCAAGGCAGTATCCTGCTGTGCTCATGTTTTCTGCAAATACTGACTCTGAAAAATTAAACATGTGACTACTCACTATGTCGTTGTCCCTGTGAAAGAGACTTCCATGGGACTATTTCAGACCAAAGGCAGTGCAGAACAATAGAGGTGAGGGGGGCCCAAAGATAATGCTGTAACTTTCCTCCCCTGTAGGGAGGGGCAAGTACTATGCAGGTGGTTGCCATTTATGTGTGTTTAACTTCTGCTCCATCACCAGTGATAAGAGCATGGTGTATCACACGCATGCTGTAAATACACACACACACACACACATTGAGCTGGAAGAAGAAAAGGGCGTTAGCAAAGGATCTCTGTTTCTTCTTTCTTTGTGTTTGCAAAGGCATCCCAGACTTCCCCAGAAGTAGCCTGGGACTTGGAAAGAAGTCTGTTCAGATGGCAGAAGAGCTGGAAATGGGGTGAGATTGGAAGGAAGAAAGAAAGTATACAGAAGGTTCTGGAGCCTAGGCAATTCCAACAGCAGGGAGTACAAGTCAGAGAAGAAAGGAGTGATTTCTTTAAAGACCAGGCTGCATTGGTTCTGGAAACCCGGGTCCCTCACTGGGCGAGTCCGGACTGTTCCAAACAGGATCAGCTGTGAGCTGACCAAGAAGCCAAGTGGTAATGCTTTGATGTGAAATATTTGTACAATATGAGACATGTATTCCTTCACATAAACCTTTTAGAGCAGACTGTCTCAGGCTTGACTCCATCCCGATGGCGTGTTTATTGGTCCTGTAATTTGGATTTGGTATGTGGTGGGTTAGATGATGGGTCAGCAAATACTCCCACCTCCCACTCCTGCCTCTCTGGATACCTTCATGGGGGACTGTACTTTCCTACTCCACTGATGTTGCACGTGGCCCCGTGACTTGTCTTGCCCCATGGAATATTAGCAGACATGCCACCAGCAGAGATGGAAAATATGCTCGTGCAGCTGGGCTTCTGCTGCGAGAAGAAAATACCAAGGCTCGTCTGGTGGTCTAAAGAGGATGAAAAAAACATGTCGAGCTGATCTGGACCCAATCTGTGGCTTGAAATCAAGGCCAGCTGAAGCGAGCCCGGATCAGCCAAATCCAAATGTTTGAGTGAGAATACAATGATGGTTCTTTCAAGCCACTGAGATCAGGGATAGTTAGTGGTATAACATTACCATGTTATAGGAACTGCTGACTGAGCAAAGAAAAAAGGCAAGGAATGTGCTTGTACAGTGTTTACAGGGCACAGCCAGTGAGCAGAATGCTGGGGTCCCTGAAGGGTGTGAATGGAGCTGTGAGTGGCGGGGCTCCCATGTGGCGCACGCCCTGGGCGCACAGTGGCCCGATGCTCATGCTGAACACGGATCAGGGTCAGAATTTGGCTGCCGCTCCCTCTGGCAGCACCGGAGGTGCTAAAACTGCTCTCAGCAGGGAATACATGTGACAGCGGGGAATACATCACCCTCGTGACCCCAAGAGTGGGTCCCTGAAGGACATCGTTCCACACAGAAATCAGGAGAAACTGGGTGCTGATTTGTGCCCATAGCTGCTCACAGGATAAACAGAAGCCGTAGGGCTGTCCACTCAGCACTTCTTCCCAGCCACGGGGAAAAAATGTTTCTCTTTTTAAAAAGAAAGATGGGAGAAGGGCATTTTTAGTGCAGGTTGCAGTTCTTGATGACATAAACTGCTCAGCCCAAGGAAATGGAAATGGATGAAGCATATGCATTCAGATAATGAATGGAGTTGGGGCAGAAAACTGTAAAAGAAACTACTTGATTTTATTTTTCTATCCATAATGATGTTTGTTTTTACAGTGGTCAGTGGTGCCGTTCTCACTGACATTGAGCATCTGTGGAAAGAAAGCAGTCAGCTCTCTGAGGTATCGAAGTGGGTGTAATAAGATTTAGTATTATTAATTTATTTGCAAAATAAAATTTCGATTAGATACTAATTGTATGAATTTCTAGGACCACTATTTATTAGACGAGGGAAGTCAAACTACCACATTTGCTGAGAGAGAACTGAGGAGACCTTACTTTCATTCTCAAGGAGAGTATGTTGGCCAGATTATTAATGGAGAGGTGAGAGAAGACAGATTGAGTGGCAGACAATCCTGTCTGGCCCCAGCCTGTCACTTGCAGACATACACCAGCTCTTTGCACCTCCCTGGGCTTCCTGATTGCTGTGCTGGAAAAGGTTACAGGTGTACTGTGAACGAGTAAACCCTCAGTGCCTGAGGCCTGGGGTAACTGAGGTCCCAAGCTGCTCATCAGTCCAGGACTCGCCAAGAGCAGCCTGGGGGCTCTGTTGGGCATGCCCCATATTCCCTACCGATGGCTAAAACTGGGAGTTTCTCTGCAAATGGAGAGAAATTGGCCATCTACCGCAACTGTCTGCTGCAGAGCTCACTGCTGCCTCCTGTGGGCAAAAGGGCTGCAGAGATGCTAGAGACTTCCTGTTGCAGGGGCCTGTGGAACAGGAACGTGAGGTGCGGTCCAAGTCTGGGTGGAGAGTGGGAGATGGGGAGACGGGGAGGCCAGGTGGGAACTCCTGCGAGGCCTAGCTCAGAAGGTAGCCCTGCACCTCTTTCTTCACATATCTTGGTCACTTATGCCCATTTGTACAGGTCTGCCCTTTTAGTGGAGTCCACACAAGTGGCCGGGCAAGGACTCGAGCCCTGTGTGCACATTCTGCACTTTCAAGTGCCTTTCCTTTCAAAGACTTGGAACGGAAAAGTTTGACTGGATTTGAAATTCATTTCCATTATCACAAGAAATTTCAACATCTACATCGGCCAAAGAAAATAAAAAAGAAGAACTCTTAGGTTCTTTAAAGATAATTTCAACTGTTGTAAATTTTTGAATGGCTGTAAAAAATGGCTTTAAATTTTTTATCACCTACTTGTGTGAACCAAGTTTCTCATCAATGGTGACTATCAAGAATTTGAAGAGATCATTAAAAAGACTTGATCAGGACTTGCTTGTAGCCATTTCAAACATAAAACTTGGTATAAAACAGTTATGTGCATGGAAGCAAGCACAACTTTCTTATTAACATTTTTGGAAAAGATTTTATTTTGAGATTTTATATGAATTTAATATTTAATACCCATCTTGAATGCTCTGTATTTTATTTTTATTATCATAGTAATAAAATATTTTAAAAAATGTAATCAGTATTTTCACCTAGCCTGTATAGGTGTCCTCAAGTCCCCCCCAGTTCATTCCAGTGCAGTGTACAAATATTATCATATCACGTCTTAGCTTCAAGTAGACATCAGAACATTTGGACATTAATGCTCGTTTGCTGCTTTCTCTGACCAAATCACAGGAGCAACTTGGGCCTCAGTTCCCCTATCTGTAAGATGACTGGATTGGATGAAATTATTTCTAAGGTTTACTCCAATTGCCAACTGCCGAGTTATTTTTAACCATCTATTTACTTCTAGGGTCATGTCTAGGCTTTATTTCTCATTAGGATGCATCTTAGTAATTGATCAGTAGTTTTCCAATAACTTTAATACCAAATGGTCTTGCTACAAACCAAAGGAATATTTATGCATTGCACAGATAATGGAATTGGGTATGAGTTTGTGACAAAAACATTTATTAGCAAGGAAAATTGAGCCAGTGCCTTGACTCCAAAGAGCTCAAGGTGCTATACTAATGCCCCCACAAGCCTATTTCTTCGAGTTAACATTTCTGCAAGCATTTTCCTTGTTCCTTTAAGTTTAGGAACACAGAGCAATTTGAAGGAAGCCATAATATATGACATGACATGACATGACACGACATGATAGGAACGCAAGCTCCATTTCCATTCAGAAGGTACTGCTGATATGGGCTGTGCCCATGCCAATCACTTTTATATCCCAACAGTGCTGCCCATTTACTTCTAAGCCATCTCCTTCCGCCTTTGGAAACAACAGTCTCAGATTGAGAGTGAGGCTGAGGATCTGAAAGACAATCACTACCTTTTAATCAACTTGTTTTGAGCTAGAATTCTACCTTACTTGCCTTCTCCTCCCCAGTCCCCTGCCCCTTTATGAGCATACACAGAATAATAATAATAATAATAATAATAATAATAATAATAATAATAATAACAACAACAACAAAATAATAATAAAATAAATGAGCCAGATACATTCAGCATTCAAAACCAGATAAAAACCCTACTGTAGACCTTAAAATTGACATAGTTTAGGAAGAGGTCTGGAAAAGTACATTGCTGGATATCAGAAAACTTTGAAGCATTGAAGCATCCATTTCAAAGGAAAGGACTCAAAGAATAATTGAGCATGTGTGATCTGATCCCACATGGACAGCTTTGCATAGACCATTGACTATGTCAGTGCATGACCCTAAATGCTCATAGGCACTTCTAGAATTAGAAATATGTGCAGCCTGGAGAAGTCTGAGTATGAGAGAAAATAGTAGGCATGTCTCATGGTGCCTCATGCTCCCCTCTGAGATGTGTAGCCAGTCTTTCAGGGAAGATTGAACATCAAAAGCTATGTGAAGAAATGATCTAACATTGTCAGCTCATTTGTCCTCTGGATTAGTTTCAACATCACACAAAACAGGCACTCTACAGTGGAAGCAGGAGTTCAGGGTTTGGTCTTTGGGTGATGAAGATAAAGCAAAAGTCAGGAATCAGTGAGGCCTTAAAAACAATGGGGTCTCTTGGGTTCCAGCAGGAACTCAAGTTGCATAAATGGAGCATTTAGTAAAGATGAAAGACACCACAGAACACTGTCTGTAAAATTCAAGAGCCTATATTGTAAAGCCCTGGGAAGGAAATACCATTTATTAAGCACATATGCAGGGTACTGTGGTAGGTGCTTTCACATCCTTTGAGCTAAGTATAACCACAGTCCCGTTCCCTTTCTAATCGGTAAGGAAATCAGGACCAATGGAAAGGTTTTAACATCTGTTACAAAATTTGTTGTTGGCTGTAGACATACCTGCGATGGGTGGGTCTGTTTCTTGGCCTAATTGAGGGGATAGTCTCGAACATCACAGTATCTTCCCTATTGGTTTCGTGAAATACCACAGTTACAGCTATGTTCCTTAAAATATTGAGGATTTTTGTCCTAATATTTCTGATCTAAATTCAGTCGCCCAAGTATGAGGCACTTTAAATGTTTCCCAGGCATTTATTTGAAAGGGAAACATTTCTTAATGAGTTTTCCCAGGAAGCCAAGAGCAATTCTCTATAGGGTTGGGAGTACCTGAGAGTGATGGGGGCATCTCCTTATCTCCTCTGGGTTCCGGAGCTGCTGAGGGGGCCACCCTGCTACAATACTTCTTTTCCCTACACTTTTTTGGCTGCCTACTCCTTGACTGACTCTTCACGTGACAATTTTGTAATATTTACTATGGGAGGAATAGAAAGATAACTCAGTCTTTCCTCTAACAAGATTGATCAAAATTTGAATGTTTATTATTGATAGGTTAGAAAAGTTTCTTTGAGCTTCAAAACTTACTACTACAAATGCTCCATCTGTGAATTTCTACTATACTTACATTCCAAGAACAGGTAATGCTCCAAAGAGAAAGCAAGGTCCTGAAAACGAAGCTTCCATTTCATAATGTGGCCGGAGCCGACCAGAGGCGGAGTCAGCATAGCTGGAGAAGCTGAAAATTCAAGGTCTTTTCCAAGGCACAGGGGCTGCCTGCAGGAGAAAGCACGCACCTGATCTAGGAGACAAAGAGCATCGCCTCAGCCTGGGGGCATCATTGCCCTTGCCTGTGGTGGTCCTGGGGCTGCTGGCTGGGCTGGCACGCTGGGCACAATCTCTCCAGCCACCTGGTCCCTAATGACACCTTCTTCTGGTGGGCCACCTTGAGCATCCTGGCCCAGCTTTGCCTTCAACTAGAAGTAACGGAACCAGGCACTGCTCATTACCACCTTTGACCTGGTCTTTATGGCCATCTGGCATCCCGACCTCTATTCGCGGATCAGGCCTGATAAGGAAGAGGGAGGTGAGGACTTGGGACTGGAAAGTGGGGAGGGGTACTTCCCGGCTTGATCAAGTCTCTAAAAGCTGTGGCCTCAGGTAAGAAACACCTCTCAAGCACAAAACTACTGAGGAATTTACAGGTATGGCGTTGCCATAAAAGGCTGAAGCAAGAATCACTTTTTAAAACCATCAATAATAAACACATTTTGATTAATCATACTGGAGGAAAGACTGAATTACTTGTCTATCCTTTTTTTAGGAAATATTACAAAATCGTTATTATAGAAAGAGGCAATCAAAGAGTATGAAGACAAGAAATGTAGGAAAACCAGCATTACAGAGTTGTATCAGTTCTAATAAACTAATAAAAATATTTTTCTGTTTTTCGGTTATTTTTCTGGATTTTTTGGAAATTTGTGGTACTTGTCAGTGTTATAAAATTTCTGATTTGATGCAATTTCTTTACCCATTGAAATTAATTTTTCCATTCATACCTGGTTTTTTATTCATCTTTTAAAATTCTTTTTCTTAAAGAAGGCCCTGTAAATTGAAGCTTCAGGTGCCACCAACTGGAATCTGTCCCTTCTGTTCACTTCTGCTAGGACTCAGAAGGCCATGCTCAGCATCCCTGTGTCCTCAAGGCTGGTGTCTCTGCCAAAAGGGTTGCTAGGTGCCTGGTAGGGTTTCGTAGAAAGGACATGGATCAGAGTGGGATTTCAGTTCTATTTCTGGATTAAGCTTGTTCTAATTATGTGCCTCTGGGCGGGACACTGTAGTGCCCTGAGACCATATTTTCCCATCAGTATGATGTGCCTCCTCATCTCCCAGAGATGTCCTGTATCTAGTATTACATATAGTAACAATATTACCTAGTATTACATTTAGATGGTAAAACCTATGTAGAAAAGGCAGCAATGAAAAGGAAAAAACTATCGTTACCATGCTTTTTCCTCTGGCGAGCAGCAAACTGAGCTTACCTGTAGCATCTTGGTGGAACTTTACCACCTTAAGATACTGTTCCCACATCACCTTTGAGACCAGTTGAAAAACTGTCACATGTCTTTTTCTAAATTTCCCCAAGTGGAGTTGGTGGTGGTGATGAGTTTATTTCTTTCCCTTTTGTTATATATGGAAGAAGTGGAAACACTCATTTCTCCCATTTCCACTTCTCTATCTTTTTACCTTACTCAACCCGTCCTCCTCCGTACCCTCATTAGCCTCCCACCCAGTCAATAAATAGCCCAAGGCCGCTGCCCTCCACTTCGGGCCAGATAATGACCTGGCCATCCATTACCCTCTTCCAGCTCTTCCAGAGGCTTGTGAAACATCCTGGAATTGGGCTGATATTTCCCTCCCCCAGACGGAGTAAGAGATGAGGGGAGACAGTGCAGCCTTGTTCACATTTGGGGAGGTACGCTAGCCAAGGAGCCCACAGTGCTTTGTGGTCCCCACTGGTCACCCAGTGGGATCACTGGGACTCGTCTGGTCCCTGAAGAAGAAACCCCTGACCTGTATTCTCTTCCTTGTCACATCCTTCCCCCACCCCACGCTACTTTTGGCTTCTGAAATGTGCAGAACATGAGCAAATGAAAACAGGGGGAAATAATCCATAAGGTCAATGGCTAATCATCCACACTTAAATATCTAAGAAAGGAGAATAACACCCTCCAAGGTGTTATCAACCAACGAGAAGAGCAATGAGTTGGTCCCATTTGGAAATTTTCTGTGTTTCTATAAATTTGTTTCTCAAGGTAAATCACCAGCCTGTCTAGCCACATTTTTTAACAATGCATGTAACTCTTAATAGCATCTCAAAAGCATACTTACTCTCAATTTCGCTTCTCATTCGTTTTTATGATGCTAGAGAAATTCAGATTATATAGGCTTTCTTTGTGCTGAGATGGTAATTTTATATCACTGTAGATTAATAGCATTTTTAGTGATATTTGGTATCACTCATTTGTCTCCTGTGGTCGTAAAGATATATATTTTTTCTAATTTGGCTTTGCCAACAAATAAAAAATAAGAGTCTTTTTCTGTTGAATGAGCGAAAAAATCATTCTGACCATGAAGAATTATTCCCTTTTAACATACCCACAATCCGCCATCTAATTGGTTTTGTTATTGTGGCAATACAGTGTCTACAAGAAAGTGTGTGCACGCCTGTGTGCATGCATACAGTTTGGCCTGCAGAAGAATCTCTCCTGGTTGCTACTTGATCTTTACTTTGAGACTTGGAGTGCTGATTACTGAGCCTCCAGCTTATCTGTTTAGAGCCTGTTCATCCAGGCACCTCTGCTTAGGAAGACAGAAACCTGTTTTTTCCCCTTCCTCTCCCTTCACCCTAGAGTTTTGCAGAGATTTTTACTTTGTGAGCATCTTGATATGTCTGGAATTCTATTCTGAGAACTGGTCCTGCAGTGCTCGCTTGGAACAAGTACCCATTCCAGGGACCGTTATTACGGAGTAGAAAGGCAGCCAGACTCGCTTTAGCTATCAGCTTTTAAGAGCTTCCTCCATCTGCTAAAATGTGCACTGCAAAGTTGCACATACAATGCTGATTAGTACCTCAGTGCAGATTCATATAATGATCCACTCTCTCTTGGTTTACGTCACACTCTCCTAACTACCCATTCACCTGTTCTATTGGAAAATTTTAATCATCTCTCTGACATTAGCTTGGCAATTTCAGCGGCCACTTCACAATCTTTCAAAGTCTTTCTGCTCCATTTCATTCCTATTTCTTTTCTGCTTGTGTTAATTATTTTTGCAGCCAGCATACGTGTTTGTCAATAATGCATTACATTTTCCATGTGTCAGTTCCTCAGCCCATCAAAGAACCCTGCTTTTTACTTTCGGAATCTATTTTCCCCTTTCCCTACTCAGCTCATTTTGCTCCGGGCCTGCCTCTACTCCTCATTCCAAATCCACTGGAAGTTGCCTGACACTTGGCACTTGCAAAGCAGTTCCCAGTTTAATTGGGTCTAGCGCTCCACAGAGCATCAGGCTGGGGCCTGCAGTGGGCTGCAAGTTGTCTGAGAGCCCAGTGACTTCTTTGGGACCCGAGATAACTTCAAAGCCCTCATTCCGTGGGATGCCCACTTCTGGAGTGTGCACAAGACAGTTCTCCCATCTTGGATCGAGGACCAGGACCTAAATCTCTCATTAAGCTCAAGGATCATGAAAACCAGTCCTGATTCTAGTGGCTCCATTCCCAATGTGATGCCTTTGCTTACTGAAAAAAGTCTTCTCTTTAAAAAAAAATTTCTGTGTGTATAGTTGACACACACTGTTCCGTTAGCTTCAGGTGTAACAGCATAATGATTCAAACTCTCTATACCTTATGCTGTGCTCACAAGTGTCGCCACCATTTGTCACCATACGACCCTATTGCAATACCATTTCCCTATGCCGTGCCCTCCGTCCCTGTGACTTAGTCATTCCATCACTGGAAGCCTGGAGCTCCCACTCGCCTTCACCCATCTCGCCCATCCCCTCAGCCCCTTTCCTCTGGCAGCCATCAGTTTGTTGTGTTTATAGATCTGATTCTGCTGGAAAAAGCTTTCTCTTAATGGCCACTCAAAAAAAAACCAAAAACTAAAAAACCCCAAAAAACAACACCTACCCTAGTGCCGGGCACATACCAAAGCTCTGTAAATACTTACACAATCGAATGTTCTGGAAAGGGCTTAAGACCCACAGGCTGTCGTTTTGGGGGACGCTGATGGGAGGCAGGTTGCTCCTTTAAAAAAAAAAAAAATCAGTACCATTCTCCCCTCTGTCCCAGCATAACCTATTCTTGGGGAATTTTCCAGTGGTTATCATTTCCGTTTTCATGATGAATATCACGGCTACCTACAAGTCGTCCTAATCCCAAGACTCTTCTTTTGTCGTTGCTTCTGAGAATTTACTGACTAGTTCCCCCTCACAGGCCAAGGAAGCGCCATTTTCAGAGAACGCTCCGCTTCTCAGAATGAATGCCCTTTTGGTGAAGGGCACGTGAAGGGAAGTTTCTTTTCTTGTTTTGCTTTTGTTTCACATTCCCCCCGGGGCGGGGGGCAGGTTTACACACATCCTGTTCCAATTCCCCGGTTCCTTGGGGAAGCACTCAGCCTGGGACGGGAAGAGAAGGGACGCGGGCCCCAAGCCGCACGGACAGGGAGGAGGTGACCGGAGGCTCCTCTGGGTCTGGGCTGCCACTTTGTTTTCTCCCCGCGCAAGCACGTCCCTCGTGTGCGCGGCGGAATCAGCCAAGGGCCACACACTGACCCTTGGTAAGACTCCGTTCCTTACTTCCCCTCACTCTGCCCTTCAGTTGCCGGCTCCTTCTGGCAGTTCTCCCTCTGCCTTCTATCGCCCGGGAGCCGCCCGTGTCCAGCTGCAGGGCGATGCTGCAGAGGCCCGGCCGAGAAACCCCGAGGGCGCGCAGGGGCGGCCCTCCGAGGGTGGGAACAGAAGCGCAGGCTGGGAAGCAATAGGTCCTGCGTGCTTCAGGACTTGAGGTTTCACCAGCCGTCTCTTTTGTTGTTAGCGCTTTTCCGGTAATCGCAAGGGATCATTTTCTGCTGATTGTCCCACAGGGAACAACACTGCGTTTCAGTTGTTTTTCGTTTCCTGTCCGGCAGTCTCGTGGATAAGCAGAGGCATTGACAGAGGTTGACCGAGGGAGGAGACGGGGACAGTAAGGTCGTATTTCATTCACCGTTCAGATAATCACCTGGTTGCGACGGCTCATGTAGAAATAGAGGCCTTCTCTCCAGTAGGTGGCCCCTCTCTTTATTCCTAGACCTTTCTTGAATTTAAAGACCACCTCTGGATAGGACTTTCCAGGACAGAAGACCTCTGGTGGAGTCTTTCATTCACACTAATAAGAAGGTGAAACATGGCACCACCTCTCGACTCAGTGACCTTGTATTTGAAGTCGTCACAGTCGGGCAGCTTACCTCTTCCACTTCATGTCTAGCTCTGATATCTGAGTCAAGCTAAGAAATTGCCTTCCCTGGCTGCTCCCTGCTTTGCCCAGCTAAATAAACATGAATTGCTAGTTTTATTTGGTTTACTAACTCCATGGGTTAGGATAATCTAAAGAAAAGTAAATGTGTGAGACGAAATGTGGACAAATTCTCTGTACTTCTTTATAGGCAATATCTACAGTTAACTATGCTTTGAGAAAATATTTCCTTAGAACCGTCATTGCGGAAGGGTTTTGTTAAGAAAAGTTGAGAGCCGGGGGTGGGGGAGGGGTACCTACACCACATCCTCTGCGGAATTAAAATTAAAAAATAAGGCTTCCATAAAATCCAGTTAACTCTAGCCAGTGATAATCTCACCCTGTTTCCACATGTGTCAAATTGGGATTATGAAATTACCTGTCTCATGGGCTTCTTGGGACTACTTCATATAACTTTTAGAAGTACCTGGTATAGTAAGTATTCTATAAATGTTAGCAATCATTATTATCAACTAATAAAATTCCTAGTTGCTCTTATAACATATGACCCATTAGGGAGAGGTTGCAAACTAATAGGCCATGAACAGGAGGCAGTCATGAAGAGAGTTGTAGAAACTTTTTAGGTGCTGCGTTTTACAATTGACAGATTTCACACACATACCAAAAAGAAAAAAAAAAAGAGCTATTTCCAATTTTGCTTTACAATGAGAGGACCCAGGATGCGAGGCATGTATTTCTTCAAGGCAGCATTACAGGCTGGAGCTGAAGGGCCCTTTTAAAGGGCGCGTCTGGCCAGTTTGCAAAATCCGCACTATATCCTCCTGGGCTCCAGGGAGGCCACTTGGCCCATGGAGCCTTTGCATTTCCCTCTCCTGGCTCATACGCTACCAGGCGCTTTGAAATAGGCGCCAGTATTTTGCTTTACACAGAGTATAAGACATGTGGTTTGGGGATATTATCCACATTTCAGAGTTGAGGAAACCAATAAAAGGGAAGGTTAAGTGACCTGCACAGTGAGTCTCTGGGGACTGGGACTCAAACCCAGACCCCCTTCTTCTGCAGCATCATGTCGCTTCCCCACGCCGGCGCACACACTCTTTCCTGAGTTTTCAGCAGAAGCGCTTTGTCCTCTGTCAATTCACCAGTTGCTGTGATTTTAAGTAGCAGGGCAACATGATGTGCCAGTGTGTCGAATGGTAAGTTAAAATGTGACCTGAGGTGTCTGAAGAATGTCCTCTCCACTCTGCTAATAAACAGGCAGTCTCTAATTATTTGCATGGAGTTTGGCTCCCAAGATAATTCAGTGTCCATGTGGCTCCATTTCACCTCTACTTATTTCCATTACCTTGCATATTAGCTGTGTCAAGTTGATGGGCCTGCTGTTCCCCAGGGTGGCTATTATAAATATGGTGTTACAGTGGAACGTTTCCAGTCTTCTGGAACCTCATTTGGACTAAGCAAGTTCTCTATAATGATCATTAATGATGTATTGCTTGCATATAAATGTTGGATATTAATCTTTTGTTTACTTTCTCTGTGCCATCAGACTTTTTAGAGGTTCTTTGTAACATGCTCTTAATTGATGACGGGCAGTAGTTTCTGCATTTGGGAGAGTGATTTTTTTCAGCTGACAAGGCACTGTGGCTGGTGAAGGCTTGATCTTGGAGCCCTGGCTGATGGACCCACTTCGCTTGGCAGATACGGCTGCCCAGCACTCTTGGAGTTCACGTAGAACTAGCGACAAGGCACAAAACCTCACTGAGCCAGGACTGTCTGTTGGCTCGTACGTTTCATGAATTGGAGACAGGAACTTGTCTATGCCAGGAAGTCCCTGCAAGATGACTGCGATGAGTCTCTGGAAGGAGGGACATGGTGGGTGCTGGATACATTCTGTTCCTTTCTCACAGGACCTGAATTGGTGCTGTACCAATCCTGTGCTGTAGTGGGTATGAGGGCTCATCTGGTTTGGATCCTTTGATAAATTCCCTTCTGCCAAGACCCAGAATTCAGGTGCTGGGTTAAATGTAAAAGGGTCTGCCGAGACTTGGCACAGACTCTTCTTTCTATATTGAATTAGGCTGGAAGAAATGCTTGCAGTTTGGTTTAGCTTGACTTTACACCAGGAGGTTGCCCCAGGAATAGATTAGCATGTGTGCAGGAAATGATGAGGTGCCAATGTTCTCTGTGGCATGAGGTCACTCAATAAGACAGAGGCTCAGGAATAAGACAGGCCTGTATTTGAAACCCTACTCTGCCATTTCCTACCTGTGTAACTTTAAGAAGGTTTCTTTTTTGTGTGTGGATGTTGTAAATTGCATGGTTCCCCCCCACCCCCCGCAGCGTTACGGAGATATAATTAACATATAACACTATATAAGTTTAATGTGTATTTAAGGTTTCTTAAACCCTATTTAAGCCTTGGTTTTCTTTTTATTTAATAGAAAGACTAATGGTACTCACTAATTGGGGTTGTTATGAGAATTAATGACTAAATGTATGTAAACACAGCCCAAAATCTAGTACAAAGCAAGTGCTCAGTACAAAGTACAAAGCTGTAATAGTAATTTTTTATTATTTGTCATTATTATTGTTATTTCTGATGATTGCTGATGCTGATCTTAGCTGTAGAGTCTGACCTTCCTCATCCTAGAAGAGAGAGGCTATTTGCCAGGCTGTCACCATATACACATCCCTGTTCCGCCTATCTCTGTTACCAGAAGTTAAATGTGACAGAGGTAAAGGAGATCTTACTGGGGTTAGTTATGAGCAGGATAAGGAAATGGCCCTGTGCCAAAACCGCAAATTCACCACAAGTCTTTTATGATAAGGAATGCACATTAAAACCTGTTAGAAGCAGACATGCTTATGACATGTAGACTCATGTCTGAGGAAGATGTGGAGGATCTCCTGGGAGAAGGCAGGCATAGACACGGAGGCCACTGAGGCAGGCATGCCATGTGTGGAAGTTGGTAAGTCCCATGGTTGCTCTTGATACCAAGAACTGTGGTCATGGGTGGGCCGTGTAATCGCCTCTGTACTCCAAATTCGCATCATCCCTCACTTGAACTTTGTGAAAAGCTAAGACTATGTTCCGTGCCATCATCCTTTTCCTGCTCGAATTCATTCTTCCACACTGCTGGCAGAATGATCTTTCTAGAGCACAACTCCAATTATGCCCCTTCTCTGCTCAATGGTCTTCGCTAGTGCTCATTGTTTACCCGTCTAGTGACCAGAACCAACAACCTAACCCCCTTAGGCCTATGTGCACTATTGCCAATCCCTTGAGCCCTGAATCCAGGAGGAGTTGGTGGTCCCACACTAGAGGACAGTACTGGGAAGAGGCTGGAAAACTCAAGGCAGGCTTTTCACTAATCCCTCTGAGCATTCACCACCCAGTGGGGTGCACTGGAGAGAGATGAAAGGAAGACACACATGTGTTTCCTATCTTGCCTGGAGATTAAGTGTTTTCACAATCAAGGAGATGTGTATGGTTTCATAGGCCTGAAAAGTTGTTTGAGCCCTAAAGCTGAGTCTGGGATCTTCCTGAAGCATCACTGGAGAGGACTGGGGACTTCACTTTTTCAATTGATTCTATTTTCTCTTTGGAAACAAGTCTTCATCTTACTGCCTGGGTGCCCCTAATGTACCAGCCTTCTACTTTTCTTTAAATACACACTTGTATTATCTGTTTGGAACTCTGTATGATTCTTAGGGGAGCTTCCATTACATATGGCTTTTTCGTGTTCTCTGAATAGTCACTTATGTCATGTAAATAGAAGTTGGGGCCACTCATCTTCAGATTCCTTAGAAAAACTGAGTTTTTCCTTGACAAGTAAGGCAAGGACTCCTTCAAATCCAGGAGGACTTGACTTGAAGGCAAGCCAGGTCACTTTGGCAGAGGTAGAATACACAACCCCTCCTGGTCTTGCCCCATTTTTCTCGATCTCCTTGTCCCCACATCAGCAAGCTGGAGAACTCTGCCTCTCTCTCTCTCTCTCTCACGGGGGATTTAGGAGATTTCCTGGAGGACTAGCATTGTGGTGATGGTGCCGTAGCCTGCCTCAGGCCCTCTGACTTTGCTCCTGACGGGGCCACCATTATATGACATGTTCCCATTTTAATACTCAAAACCAAGAAAGAGACATTCTATCTAGCCCTTCCTCAATATTGATCTCACAGAAGTAAAGACTGGGAAAGTTTTTTTGTTTGTTTGTTTTAAGTGATCCCTGGTAGGCCTAGATTTACCTGCATGACACAAATCAGAAAACCTCTGGTCTCTGATTTTCTGTTGAGTCCAAAGCACATTGGCTTCTGGCACACACAGAAGACCCTGGGGAACATGAACGTCCTCTGGCAGCATTGACAGTTTTAGTACCAGCTACTTGTCAAAAAGCTTTATTTACCACAATCTACTTATAAAAATATTTTGTTTCAAACATTGAATGACAAGCATTTCATGAACAT